CTCTTCCCTCTTTGCCCCCAGGCCAGGTAGCAAGGAACATGCCGCAGGGGAGAGAGCAAGAGTCCAGAAATTGACCAGGAGGAAATATACTGTAAGGAGTAGGGGAAATCAGCCCGATAGGGAGGAGTGGGCACCAGAGAGTGGTGGGGAGTGGGAAGTGGTCAGGGTGGGCCCTGAGGCCAGGACAGGGGACTCAGGAGCTGGATGCTGGGCTGCCTGGATGGATTAGTGTCTGAATATTCACAGGCACTGAGTCAGAGAGCAGCCTAAGGGTAGCTATGCTGAGTGGGTCCCTGGGCTCCAACCCCTTCAGCTCCTGGCTGCCACAGGACAGGGTGGGGGCGGGGACCCAGAGGTCTGGGCTCTCCCGGAGGTCTGGCGGTGGGGTGGGCCCATGGGTGTGGGAGAGGTGGCTGGAGCAGATGACAGGCAGATTCCTTACTAGCTTGGAAGGGAAACCACAGATTGGCCAGGACACAGGAGGCAGGGGAGCTGGGCCCAGTATTCCGGGAGAGAGCCAGACATGGGAGCGTCAGAGCCCTCAGTGAGCAACTGGCCTTATCCAGAGGGAGTGTGCTGAGCCCCCAGGATAGAAGGGGGTAGTCCTAGAATGTGGAATGAGCCAACCCCGCAGTGGAAGAAGCTGTCCCATTTCTGGGCTGTGGGCACCAGGTGCCACTCCTGCAAAGCATCAGCACAACGTCTCTCTTGCGCCACCTGGCGAGGCATCTCAAGTTTGCGGGCGTTTCTGTCCTGAGAGAACTTCAGGACCGCGGATTCCCAGAGGGTGTTGGTTGGCAATAGTTAGAGAAAGGCAGTCACAGCGCCTGTCCTCTGATGGCAACAGGGGTTGAGTGTGGAGAAGGTGATGACGCAAGTGTCCTACCCCTGAGGCCTCAGGATCGAGGTAGACCTTAGCATCTGACCCCTCTTTCATAACTCCTGTCTGGCCAGTAATTGACCTGCTGACTGTGGGCGAGTCCCGGCAGATGGTGGCTGCGGCAGAGAAGATCCGGACAGCTTTGCTCACTGCCGGGGACATCTACCTCCTGTCCACTTTCCGCCTGCCCCCCAAGCAGGGTGGAGTCCTCTTTGGCCTCTACTCTCGCCAAGACAACACGCGATGGCTGGAGGCCTCCGTTGTGGGCAAGATCAACAAAGGTGACTGGTGGGCATCTCCTTTCCGGCAGCGGTGACCCCTTTGGGTGCTTTCCATCATCTCTCGCTCCCAGGTGCCTCCTAATTCTCCTTGGCCTCCTCTGGGGACCATGGCCTCATCAGGCTGTGCCCAGGTACTCCAGGGAGCTCCTGGCATGGGGTGCTTAGATGCCTCAGGAGGCCAGGTACCGAGTGCTAGGGCGAGGCCTGGTATTCCAGGAATGGGAGGGTGAGGTATGTCTCAGCAGTGATACAGAACAGTCCCTCGGGCCCCTGCAAGAGCTCAGTGGGTCCAGATCAGCTGCCACCCAAGGACAGGACAGTGATCTGATGCCACTGAAGACTACGACAGTCCTAGTCTAAACCAATTTGGAAATCGTTTATTGTGCACCTGTCAGGTACGGGGTGTTGAGTGCTACATAGCTGGATTCAGGAAGGTAGCCATAAAGATGAGGTATCGGAAAAGTCGATCTAAGATTCACCTGGGAGACGGGGGTGGGGGACGGTGCCCATACTGACCCCCCCTCCTGGGCAGTGCTGGTGCGGTACCAGCGTGAGGATGGCAAAGTCCACGCGGTGAACCTACAGCAAGCGGGCCTGGCTGACGGGCGCACACACACCGCGCTCCTGCGACTCCGAGGTCCGGCCCGCCCCAGCCCTGCTCTGCAGCTTTACGTGGACTGCAAACTGGGCGACCAGCATGCTGGCCTCCCGGCACTGGCCCCCATTCCTCCAGCAGAGGTCGACGGGCTGGAGATCAGGCCTGGGCAGAAAGCTTATCTGAGGATGCAGGTGAGCGGGGAGGGACTGGGCAGAAGGCTTATCTGAGGATGCAGGTGAGCGGGGAGGGCCCTGGGAGTTTCTAGGGAGTTTGCACCAATGGGGAGGAAGGTACTCCCACCTTACTCTGCGGCTGTCCCCCAGGGCTTTGTGGAATCCATGAAGCTTATTCTGGGCGGGTCCATGGCCCGGGTAGGAGCCTTGAGCGAGTGTCCATTCCAGGGGGACGAGTCCATCCACAGCGCAGGTAACATGGCACTTCCATTAGCTGACATCTGCACCCGGGTCCTGTGGCCTTTGGTGACTGTCCTCTGGGCCTCCCTTTCCCTCAATACCCATTTCTTTGGCTTGCCTGTTCCTGGGGTTTCTGACCCTGCTACCCCAAACTGCTCACCTCTGACTCTATGGTTTCCAATACAGCCCACCCCAGGAAGTGTGAATCCCAAAACTCTCCCAGTCCGGTCAGATAATACCATCCCACAGGAAAACAGCTCTGAGGACGGAGGGCGGGAGGGCGGCTAGGGAGAAGGCTGTTGTCCGGCCTTTGCTGAGACACTCGTGCCATCTTTAGCTCCCACCGCAGCTGCCACCTAGAGCAGATTTGTGGGGCACTGCCCATTGGCCTGGTCTCTGTGGATGCTGAGACTGTCACCTAGACTGACAGCCACTTCTCCCCAGTGTCTCAAAGACCTCTCCAAGTGGCAGTTCAGGAGGGAGAGAGGAGACCAGTGTCCCTAGTCCTGGCCACCTCTTCCTTGAATCACCTCTCCACTACCAAGCCTGGCAGCTAGGAGGACGTGGGCTTTGCCCGTACATCAGGCAACCCCCTCAGTGCGTCCCTGGCCCTGCGGAAAGAGCTGGCAAGGCCTGCTGGCCAACTGCACCTCCACAACACACTTCGGAGGCTCAGCTCCGTCCCTCTCCCTCCTGCTGCCCCCACGTGCCGCCTCCAGCCTCACCCTGTGTTTTCTCCTCCTCCCTAGTGACCAGTGCACTGCACTCCATCCTAGGTGAGTGGCCCGAGGGTGGTGGGCAAGGCACCCAGGCTTTGCCTAAGTCCTCCTCAGTAGGGAATGGGTAAGGCTTAAAGGGGAGGATGGCAGTGACAAGAGCTGGCTGACTGCCCAAGGAGGGGTCAGGGCTGGTGCCCCAGTTCTGAGCCTCTCCACGTCATGGACTCTGACAGGGGAGCAGACCAAGGCGCTGGTCACCCAACTCACCCTCTTCAACCAGATCCTGGTGGAGCTGCGGGATGACATCCGAGACCAGGTTCGGGTGGGCCGGTGGCAAAGGGTGGTACTGTTTCCGGGTTGGAAGTCGCCAAGAGCTGACTCTTCTCCATCCTGCCTGCCAGGTGAAGGAAATGTCTCTGATCCGAAACACCATCATGGAGTGTCAGGTGTGCGGTGAGTGGAGAGCGGGGAAGGGCTCCAGAAGGCATCACTGAGCTCCCTGCCCGCCCCC